CTCCAACAGTGCCCGCTCCCTCAGCGCTGACCCTCCGACTGTGTGGCGCTCGCTCAGCGCTGACCCTCCAACAGTGCCCTCTCCCTCAGCACTGACCCTCCAACAGCGCCCTCTCCCTCAGGGCTGACCCTCCGACAGCGCCCTCTCCCTCAGCGCTGACTCTCCAACAGTGCCCTCTCCCTCAGCACTGACCCTCCGACAGCGCCCGCTCCCTGAGCACTGACCCTCCGACAGTGCCCTCTCCCTCAGGGCTGATCCTCCAACAGAGCGGCACTTCCGACAGTGAAGCAGTGCCTCAGTACTGCTGTGGGTGTGTAATGTGGGACCTTGGTCTCTGGGGCAGTTTGAACATCAGTAGCGGTGAGAGATGTTAACCCTTTGCTATGTCAGGCACCACTTTAAGTGCCTGTCACCATTTTCAGCTCATTACAGATGTTTGCTTTTTAAATTTATTCTTTCAATGAATTTGGAAATTGCTGGGTAGGCCGACATTTATTGTCCATCCCTAATTGCCCCCTTGAGAAGGTGAGAGTGAGCCGCTATCTTGCTGTAGTACCCCCTCCCGTGTGGTGTAGGGACACCCGCACTGTGCCGTGAGGGAGGGAGGTCCAGGATTTTGACACTGAAGGAATGGCTGATATATTTCCAAGTCGGGATTGGATGCAGTGGGGGCTTGGAGGGGAACTTGTGTAGGTGGTGTTCCCCTGGGTCTGCTGCCCTTGACCTTCCGGGGGTAGAGGTCATGGGTTTGGAAGGTGGAATCTAAATGAATTGCCACCTCACTCTTGTGCCTGACATCAAAGTGTATTACTCCATAGGTTCCAAAATCTAACTCTGAGAAACAACAAGATTGATGATGCAGGAGCAAAGCTAATTGGAGAGGCGCTTTCTACAATTAAAAAATCAAACAAGACTGTAATAACATTAAATCTCAGCTTTAATCACATCACAGACGAAGGAGCTGGTTACATTGCAGATGTAAGTAAGAGCCGACTGTTACAGTGCAACCTTCAAGCAGCAGCTTCTCACCTCATAAGCCAATCATCGGTTTTCACTCTCACGTATATTCTTACTTTCTCTCACGCATACTTTCTCACTTTTTGTCTCAAACTCATGCACTCTCTCTCACTCACGCACACACTCACACAATATTCGCACTCACACACTCACTCTCACACACACATGCTCTCTCTCAAACATTCTCAGTCACAGACACGTTCTCTCACACACAGACATTCTCACTCACTCACTCACATTCTCACTCAAATGCGCACGCACACACACACTCAATCACACACAAGCTTTCTCACACACACAGTTTCTCACTATCCACATACACACTCTCTCACACA